AGCCTGCTTCCTGCCCATGTGTGCTGGCCAGGAGCCCCGCAGCCAGCACAGGAAATAACAGGGGCCCCCAGAGGCCGCCCAGGCAGGCCCCGCTCGGAGGCCGCCAGGGAGGGAAGGAGGCCATTGTCGGCCTTTGTTTCAGCTTCCCCAGCATCACTGGGCTCCCAGAGGCCCCGGGAGCTTGCAACGCCTCCCCCGACCACAGCTGTCCGGCCTCCCCCAGCCGGACACCGGGGACAGGCCCACCAGGCCCACGGCTCTTAAAGGGGCAGGTGCAGGGTGGAGATGCAGTCCTGTCCGCGTTGGGGGTGGGGCGCCCTGGGCCCGCGCTGGCCAGCCAGGGAACAGACAGATGGGCGCTGGGTCCACGTCTCACCCGGTCGGCCAGCCCCACGCGGGGTCCAGCAGCAGGGGCACGAATCTTTGGGGGGAAAAAATGTCTCAGGCCCTGAGGGTACAACAAAGAAACCGAAGACCACGGAGAGCAAGGAGGCCAGCTGGACGTCTGGGACAGCCGTCTGGGGGAGCACTGTCCTCCTGCCGGGGGACAGACACCCCAGGAGCAGGCCTCACTGCGCATCTGCACGCCTTGGGGTGCAGAGGGCGTGTGGGGGTGCGCATGTCCCTGTGTGTACACACGCTCGTAAGTGTGTGCCTCTGCGCTGTGTATGTGTAGGCACCTGTGAGCACGCACACACAGTCCTCCCTCGGTATCCGTGGGGACCGGTTCCAGGACCTGCGATACCAAAACCCACGGAGGCTCAAGCCCTTGCATGAGATGGCGTAGCACCTGCGTGCAACCTGCATGTGCACAGCAGCCAGGCAGGCTGGGCCTGCACATCACGTCATTCTCACGGGCTCAGCGTGGTGGTTGGGGTGTGGCAAATTCACGTTTTGATTTTTGGAGCTTTCTGGGATTATTTTCCTGAACATTTTCAATCTACAGTTGGTTAAATCCTTGGTGCGACACCCACAGATACAGAGAGCCAACTATACTTGGTACACGTGTGTGTGCATGCACCTGTGTGCACACTTTGTGTTTG